GTGTAGCGTTGTTGCTCATCGTGTGAGAGCGCTGTGAAACATCTGGTGTGCTGTGCCTTTCAGGAAGCAACCGGTACCGAATCCTGCCGCTGCACTCTCAGATCCCTCGAGAGGAGCAGAGGAGGGTGTTTGAACCAGTTCCTGATGACATCAGAAAGGTCAGTGACAGGAATGCATAAAAACTTGGTGCACTGAGCGCGTCTGATCCACACGCTGACGTTTCAGGTGATCCTGTCCACCAACATCGCCGAGACGAGCATCACCATCAATGATGTCGTCTATGTCATCGACTCCTGCAAGTAAGTGTCGCTGCGCTCTGTCAGCAGGTGTGGTTTCTCTTCCTGAGGTCAGCGTCTGAGTTAGGGGTTAAAGGTCGCACTGTTTGCTGTGCTAACAGGCAGAAAGTGAAGCTGTTCACCTCCCACAACAATATGACCAACTACGCCACCGTCTGGGCCTCCAAGACCAACCTGGAGCAGAGGAAAGGTCGAGCCGGCAGAGTGCGACCGGGGTTCTGCTTCCACCTCTGCAGCCGCGCTCGATTCGACAAGTAAGGCACGTTAATCCTCCGGCACGCCGCGGGCCGCAGCGTTTGGGTTGTTAACATGTGTCTCTGTGCAGGTTGGAGACTCACATGACTCCAGAGATCTTCAGAACGCCGCTGCATGAAATCGCCCTGAGCATCAAACTGCTGAGACTCGGAGGCATCGGCCACTTCCTGTCTAAGGCTATCGAGCCACCGCCACTGGACGCCGTCATTGAGGCCGAACACACCTTGAAAGGTACGAAAGGCCTGATCGGAAGGGAATCGGGGCTGCTGGGAACTTTGCTCTGATTCTGATGCTGTGGCCTGTTTTTATGCCCTTTGGTCTGATTCTTGGTCTGTACTTTATAAAGTTGACATTTTATGTTTTGTTTTTGAAGATCCTTTTTTTGTCGTCAGTTTCCACGTGAATAATTTTCACTGTAATCTCCGTGTTTGTTGCAGAGCTGGACGCTCTGGACTCCAACGACGAGCTGACCCCTCTAGGGCGGATTCTGGCTCGGCTGCCGATCGAACCTCGGCTGGGGAAGATGATGATCATGGGCTGCATCTTCCAGTCAGTTCTTCGTCTCTCTGCTG